TTCTATTAGGGGCTCTGTAGGAGTGCAGCTTCCCCTGAGGTTAACACTCAAGAAACAAGTTTCCTTTACTGCAGCTATTTGCCGTTAGTTTAGAATGATCCAGATAACTTAATCAATAGTGAATTTGCTGGCCCCCTTCACTGTGTTGTTATTTATGCACTATGCATACATCTTTAACGTGGTTATTTATTTTATAACTCACGAAGTATTTGCCAGGAATTCCCCCCCCCAAAAAAAAAAACGCAATCATTAATTCTCCTTTGATTCTAATAACTTTAAATATGTTGTTTTTATTTTGCAGTTTCTCACCCTTTGCCTTAAAACAGTGGATTATTCCATTTTGTTCATTTCCATCTTGCTGTTTAAGCTGCTCATTTTGTATATTTCTATGTAGTGGCCAAACTGCCTTTAAATTTTTAAGGTTACAAAAACTATAAGTATATGCTATGTTAATACATTATTTCACAAAAATGTGCCAAACTCAATCACATTAATTTCATCTGAATACTAAAGGTGTTATTATTATAATATATATATGCATACATATACATATATATGTGTACACACACACACACACACACACATATATATATATATATATATATATATATATATATGGCTTAGCTTGCAGTGAGTATTCTTATAAGGTAAATGTTCTATCAACAAAGAGTAATTTTCAGCTTCTAGGTAAATTTTTAAATGCTTGTTGAATTCAAAATGCTTCATTCATAAAATTTACTGCTTGAAACTATAAAGCACAGAAAGCTGAACCACCACCAACCTTACAATAAAAGTCAAGTTGATTTTGAGAGCAGGTCAGCCAAGATGAACAAATGACTCTTGTAACTGCAGAGCAGAGGTCAAAAAATTGGCCCCATCAAATAAGGAGGAAGAGGAAATGCCACTGACCTAAGGAAAGGTCATAGCCTAAGACTGGAATAAATACCCAATATCTCTGTCCCTTCATCAGATGGCAAATGCAGAATGTTTCAACAAAGAATATTAAATGGGCCCAAATTATTTCCTGAGAATGGTTTTAAGAAGTTCAATAAATGCAGATAATCCTTAGCCTACATTGTATCCCAAATTCTGTTTTGTTTTTAATTCATATGTGTATGATGTTTTCTCAGGCATTCTTTCAGCCAAGTTTCAACTTAGGATAGCTCTTAGATAAATAATAATAATAATAAAGAAATAAAACAAAAACCCCGCTTGAATTGGGAGAAGGATTAAATGAAAAGTGTCCTTATTCAGATATAGTCTGATCTCTCTCTCTTTCTCTCTCTCTCTCTCTCTCTCTCTCTCACACACACACACACACACACACATACACACACACACACACACACACACACACACACACAGGTTGCAGGGCTAGGAATGTAACTTGTTGAGATGCATTGTGTTTCATGCATAAGATCAGGGACTTGATCTATATAACCACATAAGCCAGCAGTACAATTATTGAAGATAGAAGCAGTTGGATCAGAAGTTCAAGGCCAGCCTCAGCTACATAGGGAGTTCATGGTAAACAAAAACAAAACAGTCCTTGGAGGTTAGTGGAGATAAAGTGTTTTCAAAGGTTTGAAATCAGGAGAGACGATATCTCTTATCTATCTATCTAGTGTCTGTTCAAAGTTCTAGTGGTTATTGACTCTGATGTGTCAAAAAGAAAGTAACCAATGGATTCTAGGTCTTAGCCTTGAACAAAAACAAGGACTACTCATGTGCACTGTCTAATTCATGTGTACTTTGGGAAATTAGCTTAAAGCAAGCCAATGGATAAGAGACATGACTATGTCTTCTGTGTCTTCTTTGAACCTTTAATAGTCAGAAATGCAATCCAGTATTACAGCATTTCCCTCATGTGTACAAGATGATGAAACTTTTCCTTTATAGGAAAGGTTTGTTTCTTAGTTTGTCACTATAAAAATGAAACTCTCACTTGTACTGTGGTGAAACATATAGGGCAGATCCAACAAGGGAGAACACACAGCACATCTCCTTTAATTAGCCAGTTATAAGTGTAGACAACTCTTACCATTGCAAACCAAATATATTGTGTGACATATTTTCTTTTTTTCTATTAACATTTTTCCTTTTTTAATTTTATTTTATATAACCAATTCCATTTAAATGAAAGCAAACATTTATAGACAATATTTGGGAATTTGGGCATTGTTCTTTCCAAACTACTTCCTGCTTGTAAGGGGCACTGTCATGGGGGATTCAAAGAAGATTCAGAAATCCTGGCTGTAGTCTGTCAGGCTGCTTTGTCCAGCTGTTTTGAATTTAGGATCACCTGGTACTCTGTTTCAGGTGGTCTGGCTTGATCAAACCACATTAGTCTGGAAGGAATCCACATCTTTTCATTTTCTGTGGAAACAAAAATAGAAATCCTTTTCCCAAATAACAGGGACATCGACATGTAAAATAATAAATTAAATTAAAAAAATGCTTTGACTCCAAAATTTAAGTTCAAGGACATATTTTCTTTATGTGATATCGCTACAGTGATTTAAAGTAAAGAACCATAGCCTATATACATTGCAGTGGTCTTCCTTTTGATTTAGTTCTGAGCAGCATGTCATCGAGGATGATCATCTCTCACACATTCTGAGATCCTCTTGTAGCTGTTGGCTAATGAAAGACTAAACTAAATAATATTTTTGATTGTATTCTAAGTTCACCAGCTAGTTCTTGATCAAATGATTTCATGTTCTGAAGACTTCTTAGATGCTATTGTATCAACAGACTCAATCTGTCACAAACTTGCTAGAAGTGGACATAGATGTGTATGTACATCTTTGCAAATAAGGTTCAGTTAGGAATAAAGCATTGCAAGTAAACAATACCCCTGATAGAGACCAACAGATACAAACAGAACAAGTTACCTTTAAATTGGCATTTGTTTCCTTTCAGTTGTAGCAAATAATCTGAGCTGGCAAATGTGTATTTATACCTGCCAACAAGAGGGCACAGACAGCAAACAATAAGAAAAAAAGAGTAGTATCAATTTGCATAAACAATAGAAGACAAAGAATGAAAATGATAGAGATGAAAGCTTGGTTATTTTCAAAGAAGGAGGAAACCAGTTTTTGTTTTGTTTTTCCTACTGTGAAAGCAGGGGACTCAAGACCTCTTCTTTCTGATTTTGTTGGATTCCCTACAGCTGTGGCCATTATGAGAACAGGAGGTATGTACAAGGTTAAGGAAACAAGCTTTCTGTCTGGATTTCTGTCCTAGCCTCTGGTCTAGATTTTTGGTGGAGAGTGTCAAATGTTCAAAGTGCAGGAAGCAAAAATCACCATCAATTAATGTTCAGTGAAGTTTCCATTGGAAGATCACACTTGTAAACTTCATGGAATTTTTCTAGGTGCTCAGACTAAGATGTAATCCAGAACTCAAACACTCTCAATAGAGCAGGGATAAGAGAATTATAGTTCTTAAGTGTGGTTGGCTGAGCAACATCAGCCCACTCAGGAAAAAGCTGATGCCAAGCATCTTGGGATAACAAAAGGTGTAGGCGTGGTGCAGTTAAATGTCCACAAGTATATTTTATTCTGTAATAGGGAACTGAGTTTTATTCTAAGGAAAACTTTTGTTTATGTTTCTCAGACGAAAGGTTTTTTGACAAGTTGAGGACTCCATCCATAACATCTGTGAATTCTTCAGAGCATGAAAAGGCAAAGAGAAGAACAGGCCCTTCTGAACCCAGAACACTTTCAAGTGTGTTAATTTACTTCTCCTTTTGTCTTCAAGAAACACCTCTGTTCTTCAAGCTAGCGATGATTAAACAAAAATTAACTTCACTTGGCTAATTTTGACCTTCTACGAACTTCAGTATAGAATCCTCCTAATTTGATGCCTTGAGAGCTGGGGCTTAAAGCTTAAGCCAATTGCTCCTTGTGGGAAAATCATAGCACAGGGAGTGCTCTAGAGCATGTACTTTTCACCAAGGATGCCTTGTCTCTTCTCTCTATTTATCCCCCGTTAAAAGGCAGTTAAGTATGCAAAAATAAAATGTAAGCTCATGAGAGGGCCGAAGGGGTTAAGGCCAAAGCAGATCAGCAAGCTGAAAAAACAAAAACAAACTAGCTAGTGAAAGCCCTTTAAAGCCCCCCGTAGGCAATTCAATGGGCCTCCTGTTCCTTTAAACTCTGGCTTTCACTGCTGCCGACACTTTACCAAACTGCAGCGGTGGCCTCTGGACCCTGCAGCACAGAGCCTCCTTCCACCACTCTCGGCCCGGGTCTGGGGTAGGAGTGTTTTTTGATGGGATGGGGGTGGGGGGTGGCGTTGAATGTCAGTAAACAAAGCAACTCAGGTTTGATTCTTTTTTTTCCACACCCCAATGGTTGCCAGACCAATCCTCTGCTAGGGATGAAATGTTATTAACCCCTTAGCTCCCAGTTGAACCCAGAAGATTGTGGGAGCCTGGTGGAGGCGGCGTTGAGCCCACTATACAGGGTGCGAGCAGGGTGGGTTGATGGCTTTCAGGCAATCAGGATCAGCCACTGCCCAGAGTACCGGTCTTCGAGATCCTGGAGGCTCGAGGGGCAGCAATGGCCCTCTGGCTTCCTCCAGTCAGTCTTCTTGGTCTTTATCTGTGGGAGACTTTTCTGGCGCCCACGAGAAAAGCTCAGCCATTGGACAGGTTTGTGACGGTTGCTGGTTTCGGAAGGAGGAAGGTGGGAGAAGCTTGGAGGAGCCAGGGGAAGGGAGGAGGGAGGAGGGCGGAGGGCGGAGGGAGCAGAGAGGAGGGTTCCGCGGCGGATCTGGCAAATGGCAAGCCTCCTTCCCTCCCTAAAGTGTAGACAGGAGCTCGAGGGAGAGCAGCAGCGCCTCTGCCACTAAACTCCTGGGGCTCCGCGGTGTTCGGATCCATCTCTTCTCTATCCCGCAGCAGCCCTCTCATCAGGCTGCGGCTTTACTTTTTCCTCGTTTTTCTTTTTCTTTAAAAAGCATATTTTTGTTGTTATTGTTATTCCCTCTCTCCCTCTCTCTTCTGATCACCGCAGCCCGAACCTTCCCGGGCTCTTCTCTCGGGGCTGCCCATCCCTCTGCTGCCCGTGAGGACGCGCTCCCAGCGTTGGGCGAAGCAAAGAAGAAAAACTTGTCGGAGGGGTTTCTCCAGACTCCACTAACACCCCCACTCCCGCGAACCCCAACCACCCACCGGGACCAGTCCTAAGTCTGGGAAAGTTCCTCTGGTGCTCGGCGCCCTCTTGGATCTGCATGGCACCGGAGCTGGCTGTGGAATTAAATCTGTTTTGAACCCAGTGGAGCGCGTCGCGGGCGCTCGGAAGTCACCGTCCGCGAGAGCCGGGGTGGCGCTGCTTGCGAGGACCTGGGAGTTTGGCGGCTCGGGCTGAAGTGACCTTTCCTTCCTGCACCTTGTCGACTGAGGGCTGCGAGGGTGCCAAGTTGTGAGGAGTCCCCGAAGTCCTCCTTTGCTCGTTGCTGTTCTCTGCTTCTGGCAGTGAAAACCTATCGAAACTGACCGAGGCCTCGGGGTCCCTCCCGAGACCCACCCTCACAGCTCCGCGCCTCTTGCTATTCCCACGGAGAACCCCGGTGCCCTCGCTGGGCGGGGGAGGGAGGTCGAGGCAGAGGCATGGCAAGGTTCTCGAGGGCCGACCTGGCCACAACAGGAGTTATGTTACTTTGTTACTTTTTAATCGATCGATTCCAGTTCGCCGAAGGGGAGCCTGGACACCAAATCACTGGTAAGAAGCACTTTACTGGATTGTTTTTGTGTGCAGCTGAAGATCCTTCCAGTACCCTGGTATCCCCATTCCCAATCCACACCTACCTATTGCATTGTCCTTGAGAAACTTATCCTAATTGTTTTTATGGGAAACGAGGTTCCCCAAACCGGGAAATGTTGGCCAAGAGAAGGTGTTGGAGACCAGGACTTTGCTGAGGCTATGGTACTTACTCTACCTGGGCACCAGGGGGTGGTCCTGTCTGCCCCAAGTAGCCCCAGTATAAGAACCAGCTGTGGTGGATACCTCGCCCTGAAGCTTGGTCTTACCAGGCTGTCTCCCATCTGACTTCTCTTTCCTTGATGCTTGGAGAAACAGCTTCTGCCTCCAGTCTCAGAAGGGGTAATGGGGAATATGATGACAGGCAGGGTAGGCAGGTCTCTCCCTGCCAATAAAAAATGCCCTGTGGCCACAGATTCCTTCTTCAGAATATCCCAATAGCCCTCTTGGTGTGGGGTTACTAAGTGGGGTGCCTGCCTTAGGTACAGCAGGGCTCATGGAGAGGAGGGCGTGCCTCTGAGGACCAGCCCTGGGCCCATTGTCCTCTGCCTCTCAGATTCACAGACAGGCCCAGACGTGCCAGTGGTTCCTTAGGGTTCCTTGACACTATCCCTGGAGGAGGCTGGGCCTCCAAATCCTGGCAATTGGCCACAACCCTTGCCCTGGTGGGCTAGGTGTGTTGCAGTGAACAGCGTCTTCAGTGATTTGGGCTAACTTGGCTGTCTCAGAGAACACCTGACCACTGTGACTCTACAGCTTGCTCCAGATTTCTGCCCATCAGTAGAGAAACCAATGGGCAGTGAAACACCAGGGCAGGCATCTGAAGTACTGTAGACTTCCAGAGGGAAGTGTGAGCAAAGAGCACTTGAAGAGAAAAAGAAAAAACAAAACTTCCTAGTTAGAACTATTACTTTTGTTCTATTTTGCTTTGTATGTCGGTGTTTAATTTGAGAGGTGATAAATGGGTCCTCAGAAAGTATGCATAGCATAGGTACCCAGCCGTAAACCTCAGATGAGTCACAGAAAGTAGTCTGGGAGAGACACCTGGGGATTCCAGGTGAGGATGTACCTTTACAAAAATCTTGAATAAGATTTTACCACCTTGAGAGATATTGGATGGCCCAAGGTGAGTGTCTACCACCAGAGTACATTTTAACAGAGAAAGCAGATATTTACTTGGTGCTCCTATTTAAGGTTGTTACTCAGTGCTCTTATTTAAGGTTGGAAAGGTGTGTGTGTGTGTGTGTGTGTGTGTGTGTGTGTGTGTGTGTGTGTGTTGGGGAGCAGAGGAGGGGCCATGAGGACCACAAGATAAAAGCTGAGATTAAAGTGAGGACTTCCTGGATTTTTCTTGGTCACATAGAATGGTCCTCATCAATAGACAGAGTTCTTAGCCATTTATAACTTGTATCAGCACACTATACTATACTGTATCCCAAGTTGTTTGTTTAAAAACTTCTTTGGCACTGGAAGCAAATAATGTATTTACAGAAAAGGTAAATAAATACTAGCAGTTTAAATTTTATAAAACCCAGGGTAGAAATTATTGTCACTTTTGTTTAATTTGCTATTCTAAGGCTTCAACTGGAGAATGAAATTCAATGCACTTTGAGACTGACCAGCTGTGGAAAGCTTTTGCTTGGTTGACTATGACATACCTATGTTGACAAGATAAATATGCCAGCATTTTAAAGGAATTCACCATTTCTGGTGGAACTCTTAGAAATCTTGTGCTCATAGGATAATGGTGGAGAAATTAACTATTTTGTCAATTCTTCAGAGACTTTACTATAAGCTGAAACAACAAAATAATGTTCTATGAAATCATAAACCAATATTTTATTAAATCATCTTGGAAGTAAGCCTTTTTAGCTTACTGAATATATAACACAAGGCAAGATGTCACAGAAAAAAAAATCTACTTTCCATTGTAAGATGACTGGTCTGAAAGTTAAATATCCAGACAAGAATTCAGAAGTTAAAATTTGGCATGCAACACTCAGGGTTTTTATAACAGGCATTTTGGTGAAGGAAAAACATCTGATTTCATAACAGGGACTTTCATTGCGCTTTTTAGTTCTCTGCCCACTAGAGGGCAGAGAAACCACTAATTTCTTCTATTCTTATTTCTATTATTTCTGTGTTCTAGGGACATGTAGTTTAGTCTGTATTTTACCTGTTCTTTCTCTGTTTGGATACCTTAATGTTTAAGTTCCAGCAGATTCAGTCAATTTAAATGCTGGTGATATTACTAATTTGTAGCACTTGTAACTTATCCTGTTGATTTACTGGGGCTAAAGTTTCTGTTAGCACTGTTATGTATAACAAAATGTTAGAACATAGGGAGTCAGATTATTGGACCAGCATGTTAGTGTTGTCCAGCAATGACTCATAACTTTCCATAAAATGCTTAACATATGAAATTGAGAAGGGTTTTAATAGCTTGAGTTTACATAAGTTTGGATTTCCACAAAAATGTGATCTAGAGTAGGATTTTAATTCATGGTTATCTACATGGAGGCTTAGAACTATTATTATATAATAAACATTATTTTAACCATTGTAATCATAACATTTATAATTTGTCCACATCAAGAAATGCATGTTGCCAAAGCCTATTGCTCATCCTTGAGAATGTGCTTTAATGGAATTAGAAATGCAATGGGTTAAAAGTTTTCTCTGCAAGAATCAAACAGTCCTCTGTAGAGATATAGCAAGCATACATTTTTTTTCCTTTCTAAATGTTTTGGCCTATTACAGAAATACTATTTTTTAAAGACAAGTGGATTGACCTACAGCTATGATCTTGAGATTTAAAGATTTCAGTTTGTTTTCCACTTATTCTGAAGACCATGACCTTAAGGCCTGAGCCATTATCCCACCCCATCACCTTCTGTATTCTTAAATTCTTACCAAATGTTTCCTGAGTGAAGACTACCTGTTCTTACCATCTTGTCATCCTTCTTGTTCTCCTTTTACAAATCCTATCTCCCTCCAAACACGTTCTACCTTCTCTTACTGTCTTATTTCAAACAATACTTTCCCAGAAATGAATGCACTGACTAATTGCCTCCTATGAACCACTGTAAGGGTATTCCTAGTCTTTTGCTTATTTTGTTTTCTTTTGTTTGTACCGTGCATCTGTATCATATATCCTATTAGACCAACCCAATGGTCCCTGCAGTCAGGGTTCATTGTCATTATTTTTGACCCTGCCACAGCATGCCACATATAGGAATGTAAAAAATACTTCCAGAACTGAATGGAGCAGCATAGAGCTGTAGTTCAAGATGGATTACTGACCTGAATACAGCCCTGGGAGACTTTTAAGTATTCCTAAAATAAAATGCTTTCAATCAGTAAAGTGGAAATGGATATTAAGAGCTAGCTTCACAGGACAATAATTTAAAGGCAGAGTGTATGATCTAGTTCTACTAAACTTCCTCAGTGCTCTGGAATATTGCTACTTGCCTTAAGCCTTCTCCACTTTTTTATTACTATTTAAAAATTATTTTTAGTTTGTCCCTTCAGACAGTTGTCTCTGTGTAGTTCTAGCTGGCCTGGAACTCACTCTGTAGACCAGGTTGGCCACTAACTCAGAGATGCACCCACCTTTGCCTCTTAAGTGCTGAGATTAGCTTCCTTAAGTCTTCTTATTAATGGGTAAAACTTGTAAAGTTCATTTACTGTTCTCTTGCACTGCTGTTTTTTGGTTGCATATTAATCCACATTCAGAACTTTCCTCCTTCAAATACAGTATATGTAGATATTGCTGCATATACACATGTATACATATGCATAATCATCCATACACAGACATGTATAAAAGCATATTGTTGTATTTTCAGCAGTGATTAAAACTACTAGATAGCTTTGGTTATTTGGAAAATTGTTTTTGAATGGAGCTGTGCTAAGTCCTATAGATGGATATTTCTGTTCTACCGGCCAATTCTCAAATAAAAAGTATGAAATCTCAGCCGATAGCCTAGGCTTTTTTCTAAGTAGTTCTTATAACTTAAATTAACACATTTCTATTAATTTACTTTTTGCCTTGTAGCTTTATTACCTTTATTCTGTACTTCCCATGTTGCTTCTTCTCAATCTGGCTCTATGTTGACTCTATGTCTCTGCCCTTCTTCTTCCCGGAATCCTTTTTGCCCTGAAAATCCTACCTAGCTATTGACCGTTCAGCTTTTTATAAAACCAGCCAGAGTGAGAAATCTTCACAGTATACAAAAGATTATTCCACAAAATTTTCCCATTTTTATCTCAATAAAAAGGAAAAGTTTTTTTTATTTATAATTTTTTATTTATTTTTATATAACAAAGTCCAATTAAATGAAAACAAACATTTATACACAATATTTGGGAATTTGGGTGTCGTTCTTTCCAAACTACTTCCTGCTGGTAAGGGGCGCTGTCTTGGGGGATTCGAAGAAGATTCAGATATCCTAGCTGTAGTCTGTAGGGCTGTTTTGTCCAGCTGTTTTGAATGTAGGATCAGCTTGTACTCTGTTTCAGGCGGTCTGGCGTGATCAAACCACATTAGTCTGGAAGGAATGCACATCTTTTCATTTTCTGTGGAAAGAAAAATAGAAATCCTTTTCCCCAGTAACTTGTTCTTCAAGTTAAATTTTGGAGTCAAAGCAGTTTCTTTTAATTTAGTTTATTATTTTACATGTCGATCCCAGTTCCCTCTCCCTCCCTCCCTCCTTCCCCTTCAGCCCTCCCTCCCTCCTTCCCTTCCTTTTACCCTCTCTGCCCTCTCACATGCACTCTAAACACCCTCCCCTCCCATCCCCCCACCACAATTCCATATGTAGGGGAATGACATCCAGTTGGGGTCATGTAGATGTGACAGGTCCTGTGAAGTAGGGACTAGGGCTTCTCTCCTGTCTCTAGAATAAGGCAGTTATCCCTCCATGGAGGATATGTTTGCAAAGTAAAAGGAAAAGTTTTTA